TCAGTGATGCCATCCAACCATCTCATCCTCTGTCATCCCCTTCTCCTCTCGCCTTCAATCTTTCCCAGCATCAGGGTCTTTTCCAGTGAGTCAGTTCTTGGCATCAACTGGTCAAAGTATTGGCGTTTCAACTTCAGCATCAGTCCTTCCAATGAATATTCAGGACTGATCTCCTTTAGGATGGACTGGTTGGATCTCCTTGCAGTCCAAGGGACTCTCAACAGTCTCCTCCAAGACCACAGTTCAAAAGCATCAATTCTTCAGTGCTCAGCTTTCTTTATAGTTCTTGCCTTGAGAACCCCATGAAATTTTTGAAGAAGGGAATAGCAAACCACTTCAGTATTCTTGCCTTGAAAACTGTTAGTGTGGGGCCTGTTATTCTCTCTATTTTATGGATTGGGGTATTTGAAGTACAAATACTATGATGTGACAGCCCAAATTCAAACTTATCAGCCTATGCTTGTGTTTCATGTGCTATTAAAATGTGACTTCCAGGGTTTGAAAATAAGTCATCTCAGGAATTTATCCACCTTTTTCCATTAGCAAAATCATCACATAACCATGATTTATTAGTTCTGTGCTATTCTTAAATATGCTCTTCAGTTCAACCCGGTGGTGCAAGGAGAATTACTCATACTTTGCTCTAAGAAGTGGGAATCTGTAGAGGCAATCGCTTTTCTTATTTGCCTTACCCTCTTCATTGGTTTGCTTCCTTATGTGCTCCTACATGGAAAAGATACTAGATGATAAATGCTGTAAATAAATATTTCAAGTTTCTGTGCTTATTAAGATATTATGTTAATAAGCCCAATGCATATCGTCAAGCTAAATGGAACTGTTGGTATTAGGGATTCTATCTCAGCTCACTCATGGTTAGTCAGGTTTCATTCTTACTGACACAAATAGTGATGGAATAATCAAATTTAGATTTGAGGTAAAAACATAGAACTTTGATGAACAAATGTGTCTGCCCAATTGGGTTTATTTAGGTTGATGAAAGATAAGTGTCTATACCTCAGCGCAGAACTCTCGTGGTGGTATAGGCTTTGCCTCAGGTGAATGCCAGAATAGAATTGTTCATTCCCTACTATTTGGCAAAAATCACCTCCAGACACACAGGTATTCAGGGTGTGGACAGTATATAGAATGAAATGGCTGGTGGATCTTCAGAATAGCAGTTTTCAGAGAGATGCTTTTGTGTATTGAAAGCACAGTGTCCCATGGCCCCAAGGACCGTATTTCCCCTAGAACTGGGGGTTGTGTTCAGTACCTGTGTGGTTTCCTGCAACCTTTCTTACTGTCTGTCCACAGGGTAGGATTACTTTACCAGCTCATTTCCCTGACACCTTCTGATATTAGTCCAGGTGTTCAAGTCAAACTTCCTCCATTCCTTCTTTTCCTGAGTCTATAAATTCCATGAAATCCCATTCAAAAATGAAATACCTTTATTTGGGGTTTACATAGTCCATTTATTTCTTTTGTGTAATCTGCATTTATGTGGTAAGCAATTTTAGTATTATTTAATGTGGTAGGTCATGCGTGAATGCTTTAGTGGTTTTTCCCTACTTTCTTCAATTTAAGTCTGAATTTGGCAATAAGGAGTTCATGATTTGAGCCACAATGGGAATGAGAAATAGATTTAAGGGACTAGATATGATAGACAGAGTGCCTGATGAACTATGGATGGAGGTTCGTGACATTGTACAGGAGACAGGGATCAAGACCATCCCCAAGAAAAAGAAATGCAAAAAAGGAAAATAGCTATCTGAAGAGGCCTTACAAATAGCTGTGAAAAGAAGAGAAGTGAAAAGCAAAGGAGAAAAAGAAAGATATACCCATTTGAATGCAGAGTTCCAAAGAATAGCAAGGAGAGAAAAGAAAGCCTTCCTCAGTGATCAATGCAAAGAAATAGAGAAAAAAAACAGAACAGGAAAGATCAGAGATCTCTTCAAGAAAATTAGAGATACCAAGGGAACATTTCATGCAAAGATGGGCTCAATAAAGGACAGAAATGGTATGGACCTAACAGAAGCAGAAGATATTAAGAAGAGGTGGCAAGAATACA